CCCTTCCTGGGCCTTGAACTACCTAGGTCAATGGAAGATTCTTCTGTCAACCTAACACTGCCTACACCAGGGGCTAGGTGGTCTTATCTAAGTCTCTCAGGGGTTTGGATTTTTCATACCCGAGAGATGTAGCTATGCCCATGTAACTTTTCAGTACAGACCAGCCAATAAGCTTGTGACAAATGGACTAGCAAGCAAATTGTAAAACAGGTGTGAATTATTGATTTAAGGATATTTACTTGGTATATTTTGACATATGATGTTGATAATTTGTGTTTTAAGAGTTTATAAAGCTTTAACTTTTTGAATCCCAATGTTAGTTTCAGTTGGATTTCAGTTTGCATAGTTTGGTGGGGGTAGTGTCTTGTGAGAGAATCTGAGCCATTGATCACAGATCAATCTTAATGGGGGGCTTCCCTAAATAGCAGGCCCATAAAGGCTGCCAGCCAACTAGCCAGAGGCACAAGAGCCAGCAAATCAGAGCTGAAAACAGGGCAGTTTGGGAGAGGATGCCTGTGTGTTTCTTCCCCCACTGATATTTCTTGACAGGAGCTTAGGAGGAGAGGCTAGGAAATCTACAGAAACAGCAGTGATAGTGACCTGAATAATGGGAGAGACAACAAAGTTAACTGAATGAGGAAGCTGCGGCATGTACATTATTCTGGAGCAGGTACCTGAAAGGTGCTCCATTTGTATGAAGTGCTGCCTGACAGATCTGACAGAAGAGAAGATCCAAGGTTTGGAGCTACAGCTAGAAACGATGACTGAATTTTGAAAGGGATTTGAACGGATGATGGAGGGAATGAGAGAGGAGGCTAAAGGGAAACCTCAAGATTTGCAGATGCAAGCTGGACCAGAGAACTGTGAGGGTAGACTGCTAGATGAGGAAAGTGGCCAGTGGAAGCATGTGACTACAAGAATGAGGCAGAGGCAAAGATCGGCTGGCAAAAGAGAAATAGAACTGAGGAACAGGTTTGTTAAGTTGGAAAGTGAATGGGAGAAGCAGGCAACAACAGAAAATGGGACAGCAAGGAACAAGAGAAGAGTGGCTAGTCCTACAAGAAAAGGGGCTGAGATAATGGACATAGCCAGAGTTTGGAGCCACAGGAAGATAGAGAATGACTCACAGAAGACTGCAAGTGAGAACAGAAGACAAGATGACTTGTAGCTAGAAAGAACAGAAGGGGGAAGGCCAGAGAATCGCACCGAAACCAGGAACCGACAGGCCTACATGACTGGGGATTCCCTGGTAAGAAGAACAGACAGGCCTGTCACCAGTGCTGATCTGGATAACAGAAGGGTGCGCTGTCTGCCGGAAGCGAAGACACAGGATGTGGACCTGAGGGTGTAATACAATCCTAATAGGAACAGGAAAGAATCCACTGATTGTCCTTCACATGGAGACAAATTATACTGCTGGATTCTCACTGGGGTGAATCAAGGAACACTGCCAGGCTGGAGAAGACGCTTAAAGAAATGGAGGCTCCGGTGATCTTGAGTGGGATTATATCTGTCCCTAGAGGACGAGAGTGAAAGCGAGATAAGACGATGATAAATAGATGGCTCAGGCAATGGTGCTATAAGGAGGGCTTTGGAATATTCGACCACATTCATGGAGGCATTCATGGACAGAGGACTGTTCTCATGGGATGGACTCCACATGAGAAGGGAGGGAAATAGCCTTCTGGATGGAGATTGGAACAACTGATTAAAAAAGCTTTAAAACCAGAAATTCAGGGGAGAAGGTTGGGAGAGACCTATGTAATCTCCATGCCTGATTATAAGGAGGAGGAAATCCAGTAAAAAACGATACTGCAATGGAGAAAGAAACAATAGAGGGTAGGAAAGCGGACAAGATGATGAAAGAGTGTCAATATCAATTACATTAACAGGCAGATAGGTGATACTGGCAGTAGAATGACCGTATCCAATTGGGTGAAGCCAAGCAGAAACAACTAAAGTCAGCATGTCTGTATGCCAATGCAAGAAGCCTGTATAACAAAATGGAGGAACTAGAACTACTCGTGTGAGAAGTAAAACTAGATATTATAGGGATAACAGAAACATGGAGCCTGCATCCCAAGGGGGAATAAATTCATAGGGAAGGGCTGTAGACCAAACTGGATGAACAAGCATCTCAAACAGGTTATTAAAAGAAAGCAGAAAGCCTACAAGGAATGGAAGAAGATGGATCAGCAAGGAGGCCATGGAGAGGCCCTGCTCAAGCAGAGATAGGACTGTGAAGCTCTCCGAGCAAAGAAGCCTGAGAGAAAACCCTTAGAAATCAGGACAGAGACTGAGAAACTGTCCAGACAAGGAGGACTGGGAGAGACCCTGCTCAAACAGGGAATAGGCAGAGATCCCAGAAAGTGATGGGACCAAGTGGGATTGAACACAGGGAATGCAGCAGCAGCAGCAACTATTAAAGGGAAGCAGTATGTAACTGTGGTTTATACAGTCCCTGGGTTGGGACCCGGAGTAGTGGCGGGCCCAAGGGCTGCTGAGGAAGTGGCCTAAGCCCCAAGAAGGGGATAAGACACTGTATTAAAAATCCAAAAAAGGGGCTAGAATTTAAACAGTCCCTGAGACACGGTTGAAGACCCCAGAGAAGGCCAACCATTTGTTGGACTTTGTTACCACAGAAGGGGTTCATTCATGCGTTTTGACTCTGTGAAAATTGGCCGGAGAGCTGAGCTACCAAAGACCTGCCTGACGAGGTTAACAGCCAACAGGGGCAGCTGGGAGCAGAGAAAGGAAAGAGTGCAGGATAGCACCCAGCGGACAGGAGGAGGCACTCACAAGAAGTGAGTGCACTATGTCACAAGAGGGAAGTGTTATTACCTTTATACAAGGCACCGGTGAGATCTCATCTGGAATACTGTGTGCAACCATGTTTAAGAAAGATGAATTCAAACTGAGACAGGTGCAGAGAAGGACTACTAGGATGAGAGGAATGGAGTACCTACCTTATGAGAGCCGCTTGACTTGTTTAGCCTAACAAAATGAAGGCTCAGAGGAGATACAATTGAACTCTATAAATTAGGGCTGTCAAACAATTAAAAATAATTATCACAATTAATTGTGAGATTACAAAAACAGTCATAATCAATCACAATTTTAATTGCACTCTTAAACAATAATAGAATACCAGTTTAAATTCAGCATGGAAGCATGTCCTCTAGAATTGTGGTCGAAGCATGAAGGGGCATGTGAACGTTTAATATACCTGGCACCATAGGCGCCGACTTCCTCTCTGCCCGGTGGGTGCTCGACCCCCTCCCCACCCCTGGCCCCGCCTCCATTCCACCCTTCCCCAAAATCCCCGTCATCCACCTTCCCCTGAGTCCCCACCCCTGCCCCTTCCAATGGAGGCCTCCCCTGAGCGTGCCGTGTCCCAGCTCCTCCCTCTCCCTCCTGGAAAGTCCTAAACGCCACCAAATAACTGTTTGGCTGCGGAGGGTGGGGGTTGAAAGTGCTGGGGGGTGGGGAGGGAAAGAAGCGAGGAGGGGGGAGCTTGGCTGCCAATGCATACGTAAATACCTTGCAACACTGGCTACAACAGTGCCATGCGAATGCCTGTTCTCACTTTCAGGTGACTTTGTAATTAAGAGGCGGACCGCATTATCTCCCGTGAATGTAAACAAACTTGTCTGTCTTAGCAATTGGCTGAACAAGAAATAGGACTGAATGGACTTGTAGGCTCTAAAGTTTTACTTTTTTTTTAAACATAGCACTTAAAAACAACACAAATTCTACATTTGTAAGTTACACTTTCATGATAAAGAGACTGCACTACAGTACTTAAATGAGGTGAAGTGAAAAATATTCTTGTTTTATTTGCACTGTAAAAAGATACTTGTAATTAAAAAATATAAAGTGAGCACTATACAATTTGTATTGTGTTGTAATTGAAATCAATATATTTTGAAATGTTGAACAACCAAAAATATTTCTAATAAATTAAAATTGGTATTCTCTTCTTAGCAGTGCAATTAAAACTGCGATTAGTCGTGACTTTTTTAATCTAGTTAATTTGTTTTATGTTAATCGCTTACGTTAACTGCGATTAATTGACAGCTCTACTATAAATAGGGAGGGAGAGGAGAGGAGCTATTTAAGTTAAGGGCCAATGCTGGCACAAGAACAAATGGATATAAACTGACCAACAAATGTAGGCTTGGATTTTGACAAAGGTTTCTAACAATCAGAGGAGTGAAGTTCTAGAACAGCTTTCCAAGGAGAGTATTGGGAGCAAAAACCTAATTGGCTTCAAGGCTGAGCTTGATAAGTTTAAGGAGGGGATGGGTATGATGAGGCTGCTTTCAATGGCATACGCCCTATCTGTGACTACTATCAAATATCTCCAAAGACCAGAGATGGGACACTAGATGGAGAGGCCTCTGAGTTACTACAAAGACTTCTCCATCAGGTGCCCAGTGGGTGGGTCTTGCCCACATGCTCCAGGCCTAAATGAGCACCATATTTGGGGTCAGGAAGGAATTTTTCTTCAGGCCAGGCTGGAAGAAACCCTGCAGGTTTTTCACCTTCCTTTGCAACATGGGGCACAGGTCACTTGCTGGCCTGAATTAGAGTAAATGGTGGATTCTCTGTAACTTGAAGTCTTTAAATCAAGATCTGAGGACTTCAGTAACTCACCCAGAGGTTATAGGCCTATATCACGAGTGGGTGGGTGAGGTTCTGTAGCCTGCAATGCGCAGGAGATCAGACAGATAGATCATCACAATGGTCCCTACTGGCCCTAAAGTCTACGAATCTTCTGTCAGTAAATGCTTTTTACAGATTCAGACTAACACGGCTACCCCTCTGATACTTGTCAGTAAATGTACACTCCACCACCCATAATTGTGAACTGTGAAAATTTAAATAGATAAAAATCTACCTGCCCAAATTAAAAAAAATCAAATTCTGCCTCGCCTACTTATAAACACAGATACCCCATGTAAGCTGGCACGAACATGTCACCATCAGGGAAAGCTTACCTGTTAGCTTAGTGTAAGCTTCCATATCCTCCATTGCTGTAGAAATCTTGTAGTGTTTTCCACCAGTGCCCTCTATTTTAATATAGGGATCTGCTTTTAGGAAGGCATCTGTAATCCTGTTTTGAGACATAGGATATGGATTTAGTGTTTTTAAAAGAGAAAATGAAAAGCCACAAAGTTTACAAATAAAGTGACCATTAGCTAATAAGCATTCCAAGCACGAAGCCAAAAGAAGTCAGTTATACTGTAACATTTCACATCTCCTGTTGCCTAAACCGGGCTCGTAACTGGGTGAGTCAATGCAAAAGCTGAAGCAACCAGACAGTAAATAAATAACTGAGCTTTCGACTAGTTAATAGAGTGCTTTCACTTAAAACCCTCATAATTCTGATGAACTAGAAATCTGCCATTATGCAGTGTTTCCGACTGCATGTTTGACATTACTGTTTGGTTGACTGTAGGAGTATGGAAGTCAGTGGCCGACGCTCAGACTGTTATAATGTAGAAGTACTGCACAGCAGAACACACTTCGTGGTGACTAAATAGCTCCATGAATTAATAACTAAGTTGGATGAATGTTTGTAAAGCATTTTTTGAGGTAAGCTGCCAGGTAAGTTCTAAGTATTAGTGCATCAGTCTGTCAGAGCTATTCACCCACTGCATGTGGCAAAACGTTATTTAAAAATACAGTTTTTCTAAAATAGTCAGGCTCTTCCTAAATTTTAACAGTTTAAAGATTTCCAGTATCTAAGGACAAAAAGACAGTATGAAAAGGACATCTGCTTTATTACTAGGCTTGATCAATCTGCTGTCAACTGGTTATCAGTGTGGTGGGGGAGAGTTCTTATTTCCTTCATTTTTTTTATTTATATGTATGAACAAAAGCACAACCACCACCATACTGCAGAACTTTAAATGCTTATTTTAAAATTAAGTCTTGAGTAACTCAATGGAAATCAGCTGGATTTTACACCACTTCATACCTTATTGATTATTTACATATTCCAAAATGGATTTAACATAACATTTTAAGACTAGTAAAGTTCAGAGGAGAGAAGCTATTTCTAGTAATTGGAAATCTATTGGGTTCAGATTGATTTTTTTTTCTTTATATAGACAATCTAGAACCAAAAAAGGGAGAAGGCTATATAGCCAAATTTCCTTGGTGTGATGAATGACCAAGGCATGCTCACAGATTAGGGTACAGATAGGGTCCTGTAAAATTACATATTCAAAATTTCATTTGTGCCTTTTACAGAGGCACAAGGACGTGCTTGGTTTCACAGAAATCCTAACTCTACAGGTTTTCATTCATCTCAGCAACTCAACATCAATAAAGCTAAGATTTTCTCCCAGACATTTTTAGTAAAAGTCATGGACAGGTCACGGGCAATAAAAAAAAAATTCATGGAAGCCCTTGACCTGTCCCTGACTTTTACTAAAAATATCCATGACAAAAAGGGGAGCTGTGGAGTCCCCATACCGCCCACAGTGGCTGGGCAGCTGCGGGGGCCACCATCGACAGCTCAGAGCTCCATGGTCCCCCTGCCACCATTGGTGGCTCAGAGCTCCTAGGGGCCCCCACCACCCATGGTACCCCCAGCACCTGCAGTGGCTCAGAACTCCGGGGGGGCCCTAGGGGTACCCAGCAGCTCCTGGCCACTGCAGGGACCCTGCAGTTCCCAGCCACCACAGACTGTTCATGGTTAAGGCTATGATTTTCAATCAAAATACACAATGGACACTTACATTGTTTCAATGATGTTGCCAACCTTGTGCTGGTAAGCTCTGCGGTGCAAACAATTCCGTGTATGGAACATGTCATACAGATTTCCAACCTCCTGCAACAAAAGATGAAGTTACCTTTCATTTGTATATTGACTCAAGTCAACTGGATACTGCACTGAGGATTCAAAGAAAATAACTGTCACAGTTCAGTTTCCACTGTACAACGGAATGGGTGATTTTCACCATTCTGAAGTCAGGAACAGCATCTACACCTGGATTTGTAATAATGTGAGTACAGTCCCATTTTTACTGTGCTTTTTCCACTCTAGCTTCTGTAGTTGCGATTAAAGAGATTGTAAGGTGACTGATCAACAAAGAGGATACATTTTGAAAATAATTTTGAAGGTATCAAATACTACATTCTAAACAATGCAACAGAAAAGAAAATAACCTCTCAACTAAAGGAGATTAATTTATTATTCAAACTGACTTATAACTCTGAACACTCTTCTGCAATCCTTGGCTACCACTCTAGTATTGAGAGGCATGCTGCAATATCTGATGGCATACACACATACACGTTATAATACACTATACGTACACACAAACCTCATACATGGAGGAAACAGCCATGTGGTAACTTGCAGAGGCACATGATAAAGTTATCCACATACCTATAAGTGCATCAGCTTCCCACTACCCATCTTGCTGAGATATATTGTTTTCTCAGAAGTCCCACTAGATTCTACTCGGTCCTGTGAGCATACACCCAGGCCTTGCAGGTTCTATGTTGCATAAGTAAGGCCCTACCAAATTCATGGTCAATTTCATAGTCATAAGATTTTAAAAATCTGAAAATTCAGGATTTCAGCTATTTAAATCTGAAATTTCACGATGGTATAATTGTAGGGGCCCTGACCCAAAAAGGAATTGTGGGGAGGTTGCAAGGTTATTGTGGGGGGTATTGCAGTATTGCTACCCTTACTTCTGCGCAGCTGCTGGCAGCAGCGGTGCCTTCAGAGCTGAGCAGCTGGAGAGTGGAGTGGCTGGCCGGCTGCCACCAGCAGCAGCGCAGAAGTAAGGATGGCATGGTATGGTATTGCCATCCTTACTTCTGCGCTGGTGCTGGCGGCGGCTATGCCTTCAGACCTGGGCTCCCGGGCAACAGCCACCAGTCTCCAACCACCTAGCTCTGAAGCCAGTGCAGAAGTAAGGGTGGCAATACTGCAACCCCCCTAAAATAACCTTGTGACCCCTCTCCCCCCCCCCTCCCCGCAACTCCCTTTTAGCTCAGGACCCCTAATTTGAGAAACGCTGGTCTTCCCCATGAAATCTGTATAGTATAAGGTAAAAGCACACAGAAGACCAGATTTCACAGTCCATGACGCATTTTTCATGGCCATGAATTGGTAGGGCCCTATGCATAAGTAACTGGAGAAGTGAGGGAAGTAAGTTTTGTGCTTTTAAAATGTTTTATTTATTTTTGATGTTATGGTTTTATTAGGTGTAACTCTGTTTCTGTTCTATACAATTTTCAACAAAAAGGATCAACACCGTAGAATAAGACGGTTACTCACCTTTGTAACTGTTGTTCTTTGAGATGTGTTGCTCATATCCATTCCAATTAGGTGTGTGCGCGGCGCGTGCACGATCGTCGGAAGATTTTTACCCTAGCAGCACTCGGTGGGTCGGCTGAGGGGCCCCCTGGAGTGGCGCCCTCATGGCGCCAGATATATGCCCCTGCCGACCCAGTGCCCCCTCAGTTCCTTCTTGCCGGCTACTCCGACAGTGGGGAAGGAGGGCGGGTTTGGAATGGATATGAGCAACACATCTTGAACAACAACAGTTACAAAGGTGAGTACCGTCTTTTCTTCTTCGAGTGCTTGCTCATATCGATTCCAATTAGGTGACTCCCAAGCCTTACCTAGGCCGTGGGGTCGGATTTAGATGTCGTGGAGTGAAGGACAGCTGAACCAAATGCCGCATCCTCCCTGGACTACTGTACTATGGCATAGCGGGAAGCGAAAGTGTGCACAGATGACCAAGTTGCTGCCCTACAGATCTCCTGTATGGGCACATGAGCCAGAAAGGCAGAGGACGAAGCTTGAGCCCGAGTGGAATGGGCAGTGAGTCATGGAGCTGGGACACCAGCCAGGTCGTAACATGCACAGATGCATGATGTAATCCAAGACGAGATTCGCTGCGAAGAGACCGGAAGGCCTTTCATCCGGTCTGCCACTGCTACTAATAGTTGGGACATGTTTCTGAACGGCTTCGTACGTTCGATGTAAAAGGCAAGAGTCCTGTGAACGTCCACGGAATGTAGCTGCCGTTCCCTTCGCGAAGCATGCGGCTTCAGGAAGACCACCGGGAGGAAGATGTCTTGGTTGACATGGAAGGCAGACACCACCTTAGGGAGGAAGGCAGGGTGTGGTTGCAGCTGTACCTTGTCCTTACGGAACACCGTATACGGTGGGTCCGATGTGAGGGCCCTAAGTTCTGAGACTCATCTCGCCGATGTGACAGCGATGAGGAAAGCTGTTTTCCAGGACAGGTACAGAAGCGAGCAGGTGGCCATCAGCTAGAAGGGGGCACTCATGAGTCTAGATAGGACCAGATTGAGGTCCCACGTAGGGGCCGGCTGACGAATTTGTGGGTACAAGCGTCCTAAGCCCTTGAGGAACCTGCTTTCCATGGGACTGGAGAAGACTGAGCGCCCGTTCTCGCCCGGATGGAAGGCAGAAATCGCTGCTAGGTAGACTCTGATAGATGAGACAGCTAGGCCTTGCTGTTTCAAGGACCAGAGATAGTCTAGGATGGTAGGTACTGTCGCCCCCATAGGGACAGTGTTGTTTAGGGCACACCAGCAGGAGAAGCGCTTCCATTTCGCCAGGTATGTGGACCTAGTGGAGGGCTTTCTGCTCCCCAAGAGCACTTGCTGCACCGAAGTGGAGCAACACAGCTCGGATTGAGTCAGCCATGCAGCATCCAAGCAGTCAGGTGGAGGGACTGCAGGTCTGGATGACATAACCTGCCGTATTCCTGAGTGATCAGGGCCGGCCACAATGGTAGAGTGATTGGTTTGGTCACCAACAGATCGAGGAGTGTGGTGTACCAGTGTTGTCTGGGCCACGCTGGAGTGACCAAGATTAAGCGGGCCTTGTCTCTGCGTAACTTCAGAAGGACCTTGTGGACGAACGGAAACGGAGGGAAGGCATAGAGCAGGTGGTCTTTCCATGGCATCAGGAAGGTGTCTGACAGGGAGCCCGGGGAACGTCCCTGGAGGGAGCAGAACACCTGGCACTTCCGATTCTCGCGAGAGGCGAAAAGGTCTATGTGGGGAAATCCCCACCTCCGGAAAACAGAATGAATAACATCCAGACATATCGACCACTCGTGAGCCAGGAAGGACCTGCTGAGGCGATCTGCTAAGGTGTTCTGGACTCCTGGGAGAAAAAAGACGCCACCAGGTCGATTGAGTGGGCTATGCAGAATTCCCAGAGATGTATGGCTTCCTGACAGAGGAGGGACGACCGCGCTCCGCCTTGCTTGTTGATGTAAAACATGGCCATTGTGTTGTCTGTGAAGATTCGCGGAATAACTGACACACCAGGCGTACTGCTCTCAGTTCCCTGACATTGATGTGCAGGGTTATTTCTTGTGCAGACCAAAGACCTTGTGTGCGAAGGTCCGCGAGGTGAGTGCCCCAGCCCAGAGATGACGCGTCCGTGGTGAGGGCTAGAGAAGGCTGTGAGGCATGGAATGGCATCCCCCCGCAAACAAGGCTGGGGTTTAGCCACCAACCCAGAGAGGATAAGACCTCCATCGGCACCGTGAGTACTGTGTCCAAACTGTCCCGGCCTGGATGGTACACTGAAGAGAGCCAGGTCTGAAGCGGGCGGAGGCGTAGTGCGGCATGTCTGGTCACGAAGGTGCACGAGACCATGTGGCCCAGAAGACCGAGACACGTGCGTGCTGTCGAGGTCGGGAAGCTTTGGAGGCCGTGGATAATGATCATCATGGACTGGAAGTGGGCCTGCCAGGACTGCCCCAATGAAGTCTATTCTTTGGGTTGGCTCCAAAGTGGACTTTTCGGTGTTGAGCAGCAGGCCCAGTTGCCTGAAGCAGGTCATGACGAACTGAACATGAGACTGTAGCTGTGACCAACCCCGAATAAGCCAGTCGTCGAGGTACGGAAACACTTGGATCTGATGTCTGCGGAGCCAGGCTGCTACGACAGCCATACATTTTGTGAAGACCCTTGGTGCTGTGGACAGGCCGAAGGGGAGGACCGTAAATTGGAAATGCTGCTGTCCGACCACAAAGCGAAGGAACTGCCTGTGCGCTGGGTAAATCGCTATATGGAAGTACACGTCCTTCATGTCGAGGGCAGCGTACCAGTCTCCAGGATTCAGGGAAGGGATAATGGTTCCCAGGGTAATCATGCGGAACTTCAACTTTAGCATGATTTGTTGAGTCCGCGTAGGTCCAGGATGGGCCGAAGTCCCCCCTTTGCCTTGGGGATTAGGAAGTAGCGGGAGTAAAAACCTCTGCCCCTCAAGTCCTTCGGTACCTCTTCCACCGCTCCAACAGACAGGAACGCTTGTAACTCCTGTAAGAGGAGATGCTCGTGAGAAGAGTCCCTGAAGAGGGACGAGGAGGGAGGGTGGGAAGTGGGGGGGCCGAAACAAACTGAAGATGGTATCCAGTTTCTACCATGCGTAGAACCCAGTGGTCTGATGTTATGCGGGACCACGCAGGGAGGAAACAGGAGAGGCGGTTGGAGAAAGGTAGGGAAGGATCCTGGGAGGAGACTGGTGCTCCGTCCTTGAGCGCAGCTTCAAAAGTTTTGTCTGGGCCCTGCTGATGGCCTAGGGGGGACCTGGTTCTGGCCTGCTTGCGAACCAGATTGTCACCTCCTATTGCCACGACCACGCCTTCTAGAGAAGTCTTGCCGCGATCGAGGGTTAGGGTAAGTGTGCTGCGGCTGGGGCCGGAAGGGCCTGCGTTGCGTCACTGGGGTATGTATGCCCAATGAGCACATGGTGGCCCGGTTATCCTTCAGACTTGGCAGTCTGGGATCAGTTTTATCTGAAAAGAGACCTTGGCTCCC